CCCCCCCCACCCCACACACACACACACACACCCAAAAAAAGGACAAAAAGGATAAGTAATTAGATATACTAACTACAATTAACCTTGAAGACGCAAACCTTGCCCAAGGGAATGGAAGGAAACGATAAAGTAAATGTGTATGTTACACACACTACCTTTGGTCTAACATTCCTTTTATTTGTGTCATAATTATAGAAAGTCAAATATCAAACCTTCTGCATACTTTCCAAATAATTGATATTGCTAAGCCATCTGAAGAGATAAAACTTGTTGTATAATGTTAGTTTATATCAATATTTGTTTCCTTGTTATACCTTACATGCCTGATGTTTACAATAATAAACATTCTAGTAATCTACGAAATAAATGAATAAAATAGTGAAGGAAAAATGTAATGGAATGTCATGTAGCTAACACATGGGTATGCTTGGGGGTTGGGATTGTGGGATACTTTCCACCTTTGTACTCATTAAAACTCTTTAATGGATTTAAATATTTTGTCCGTGGTGTGGCCATTGGTGCAGAACAAAGTAAATCTGAGCTATCTTATTGTTGCCTTATTTTGTCAATATTTGCGTTTCTATTGATTTGCCATAACAAGGTTGCCCCCCCCCCCCCCCAAAAAAAAAAAAAACATTCAAAACAAGGTCATTCTACAGAAACCACCTTTGATTGTTAATTTATACATAAACCACATTTAAACCATTTTTTATTGCAATCAACCACTTGGACTCAATTTTTTCGGTTTTGCTATAATAATTAGTTGTCAAGTACCCAGTATATTAGAAAGATGACCCTTACTGGAGGTTAGATGGGATCAATTAACGAAAAAAATAAGTGAAAGCGGGGTTAGGTGATTGATTGCAACAAAAAGCCCTCTAAAGGTGGTTTATATATAAATTGAAAATAAAATATAGTTTCTATAGAATGACCCTTATTAAAGGTTGTTTCTAGGGATTAAAACCTACTTATAAATTGATATAATTACAGTTCCATATTTTAACAGAACTTGTTTTCACTTGACTTTATGTCCAACTGGAACTAGGAAATGCAACAATAAAAAAATACATTTGAGTAAGAACCAAGCCAAAGAAATGACATGAAGCATAGAGTGTTCAGCTTCTGGGTTTCCACTGAAGATTATAGAGGACAGAAAGCCATGGGAAATGATCAAAACCACAGAGTAACACATTCTGCTACATAATGCATGATTGTCTCAAATAAATAATCAGAATGGAAGTAGCTAGCTCACCTTAACAAATCCAGTACGGCGATCCAGATTTAAATGCAAATTTTTTATCTGCCCAAACTCACGAAAAGCGTTGTGGAGGTCATCTTCTTGTGCCTCTTCATGAACTCCAGTAACCAAAACAATCCATCCCTCAATCGCTACATAAACCAAGAAGATAAAATTAGTAAGAAACTACAGCAATAAAGCTGAAATTAAAAATTTTCGGTGGATTAATTATTGGATTACACTGCAAACTTGAAGTCATGGAACTGAGGCCAGACTCCTAGTTTTTATTTTTTTTAATGAATAACAAAACTTAAAACATCTAAATAAGAATCATACATGGGTATTAAAGAAGAGAATCTAGTAAAGAATTTAATCAAACTTGATGAATAATAATGAATTTTGTTATTATATTAGTATTTCGTATTAATATAACACACATGACATAGTTGCTGCTACATAGCATACATTGACCATATCAATGCATTAATTTGCTCACTCCCAACAATCAATGTTGCAAACTCCTTTACCAGCACTATCCCACCAAGTTCGATTTTCTCCTCCTTCAACCCCCAACCACCAAAAGAAGAAGAAAAAACCCTCCCTTCGATCCTCTTTAATTATTAATATCAAGTGAGTGTACTTCCAGCAGCAAAATTTTTAGCACAAAGCAAAAATAAGGTCACAAGTCTTACTTCCATAATTTCTAATCCAATGCAATCTAATTTGAATGTACGTGGTAGAACAACATCCCCGTCAACATCAATCAAAGTGCAGGCAGCATCCATCTCAATAGAACTAAACCTATCTCAATAAAATCAAGCACACCTCCCTATAAAGTCTCTTGCTTTCTACCCAATCCACCCAAATACGGAATTTTTCTAGCAGTTTCACGAAGACTGCGTGTCTATTGCATCAAAATCAACCCACCTTACTCTCACGACCAAAACCCCAAACCTACTCAAAAGCATCAAGCATTTAAAATTGACCGGCAAGAACAATAAACAAACCCTAAATTAGCATACATCGAAGAGGACCGGGCCCGCCATCGGAACCAAGCGCGTCTCTAAAACCCCTCCCTTTCGTCTTCTTGGGCCCACCGGAGAGATCGCCGGCGGCGGGAGCGATGGCGGATCTCAGCCTGGGGACGGTTGAGCCGGCGTCCACGTCAGCGCCGGCGTCCTCGTCCATTAGATCGTCCTCGTCGGGCTCGAAATCGACTACATCGACGTCGACTCCGTTCGTCGCCATGAATTCTTCTTCTTCTTCTTCTTCTTCTTCTTCTTTTTCTCCCCCCTTTCGGTCTTTTGTTTTCCTTCTGCGGTGGAGGATGTGAAGGGATTTTGAGCTTTTTGGGGGTTAAAAGGAGGTTAGGGTTTATGGGAATTTTATTAGAAAGGTGGGGGTGGGCCCCTTCATCCCCTGGATGCGGGGCCCCGTTTATCACCGTCTAAGTCGCTATTAAATGCCCCACGGTTTGCTTGCACTTGAAGTGACCCCTAGTTTCAAACCTTGCATAAATAAATTTAAAAATATCCTAAAGTTTTGGGATCCCTCACTTAAATCCCACAAAGTTTTTATAATATTGCAAGTTAGGGGTTGTTTGGTTCCCTATTTTTGAGGAAAAGATTCTCTTAAAATCATGTTCAAAGTGTCACTTTTTAGCAGGCTTTTAGCCAAAATCTTCTTTTTTTAGAGACGATTTTGGTTGAAAGCCTGCCAAAAAGTGACATTTTTGGTACTTTTGACAGGCTTTCAAGAGAGCATTTTACTCAAAAATAGGGAACCAAACAGCCCCTTAGTACTCTCTGGTAATTAGCTGGTAGAATGTTTTGGGCCCTGTTTATCACCGTCTAAGGTACTGTTTGGCAACAAAAAAAAGTGTCTTATCTAAGAGCTTGTGTCTTATTGACTTGGTCAATAAGCTAGTAGAGCTGTTTGGTGACCAAAAATAGGAGGAGATTATTTTGGAGATTGTGACTTTTGCAAGTAGCTTTTGGAAAGCTATCTCAAGTAGCGTTTGTCTTTGGAATGAGCTGCCAATTTTTTTCTTCCGTTTTTGCCCCTAATAATTCTAATTTTATATCAATAATATTGCATGTCTTTTTTAGTCATTTAACAAATTTAAGCTAGTTGTACAGCTACTTTTACCAAACAGCTCTAGTCAATCAGCTAGCTACACAGCTAACAGCTTTCAGCTACAATTTCACAGCTTTCAGCTAGCTTAACAGCTTTCAGCTATAATCTCGTAGCTTTCAGCTAGTTTTGCCAAACAGAGCCTAAGTCGCTGTTAAATGCCCCATGGTTTGCTTGCACTTGAAGTGACCCATAGTTTCAAACCTTGCATAAATAAATTTAAAAATACCCTAAAGTTTTGCGATCCTGCACTTAAATCCCACAAAGTTTTTATAATATTGCAAGTTAGTACTCTCTGGTAATTAGCTGGTAGAATGTTTTGGGAATATTTCCATGTGTGCTTCCACATGATCTGTTACACAGTTCTACACCCCTAAACTTCATGAAAATTATAATTAAGCCTCCCCTCTTTTATTTTGCCCCTTCTCTTCTTATTTAACGTAACTCTTTCACCATTTTAATCAGCTCTTTTTTGTAGGAGTCTCACCATGAAGGCAGTCTCTCGATTAGCCACTCGATCGTTAAGCTCCTCAACAAATCTTGGCATTGTGAATGAGAAAGAAACTAGGGTTTGCTACTGTTAGTTAAGCTCTTCTCTTGAAACAGCTTGGACCAAAGAAAACTATAAGCAAAGGTTTTTTTTAGTTGCTCTAACTATTGCAGTAGGTAAAAATATAAGTTTTTTTTGGAACTGAAAAAGCATGAAAAACTTTCCAGCTCATTATATATATATTTATATCAAGAAACTTGCATAGAAGTTACAATCCTAACTCACCAAAAGGAGGCCAAGAGAAGATGAAAAGAAAGAAAGAGAGGAAAAGAAACTGAAAGTCACCTGTCTAGGCTAAATTAACTAAGAAGATATTACATCACCAGATAGCAATAAAATTACATGAGGGAGTTTATAAGCCAAAAAGAGTTGAGAAAGAAGCTACTCCTCAAGATTACTACTCAAAAGAAAGACCAAAAGGAGGACCAAGCCGGCACAGGGTCTAATCTGCAGAAAAGTTATCTCCCACATCAGCTGCAGCTTTCTTCTTTGCTATTTCATCAAACTGCAGCTTAATTGCTGCCCTTCGGATCCTTTTAGCCAACCTGAGCTTTCTTCTTTGCTATTTCATCAAACTGCAGCTTAATTGCTGCCCTTCGGATCCTTTTAGCCAACCTGTCTTCGTGAGCACCTGCCCAAAGGAGAGTGCAGCTTAATTGCTGCCCTTCGGATCCTTTTAGCCAACCTGTCTTCGTGAGCACCTGCCCAAAGGAGAGTATACCTAGCCACATTAGCTGCAATGAGGTCTAAATTTTGCTGTCTATCTTTAAAAATGAGTAAGTTGCGGCTATTCCAAATCCACCAACAACAGCATAGAAGCACCACCTTCCATATGCAACTAATATATCTGTTGACGACTGGTGACACATTGAAGAGGATCAAATCATTCATGGAATGGGGCCAAGCGGCAACACCAATACTAGGGAAGAGGGTGGACCAAATGGATGACGCAAAAGGGCATGCGATAAATAAGTGGTCCTGGCTCTCCACTTCTGAATTGCAGAACGGACACATTGGGTCACCTTGCCATCCCTTAGAGACTAAGTTGGCCCTAGTATTAAGTTTTTGTTTTGCACACTAGCCAAAAACAAACTTTAACTTTCAGAGGGATGGGAGATTTCCAAATGAACTTGTAGAATCTGAATAAGCATCCTCCAAAAATAATAATTGAATATAGGGATTTTACCGAAAACTTTCCTGATGTGTTAAGAGACCACCATAAGGAATCCAGGTATGGAGAGGTACTGCAAACAAATGGATCAATGCAAGAGAGGAGGTCCTGAACTTCTCTCTGCTCTTCAGGGGAAATACCTCTTCTAAGAATTGGGTGCCACTGCCAAACTTGATTTAAGAGAGAGCCCTGGGATATGATGCTGTTGTCTTTGGAAAAAGCAAGAGAAAATGCCTTTGGGAAGAGACTGCTCAAAGAGTTAGAACCAGACCATTTATCATACCAGAATCTACACGTTTTTCCATTGCCTACAATCCATCTAGCAAAGAATTGGAAAACTGAGTACATAGAGCTTAAGTCCTTGAGCAGGTTAGATGATTTTGATCTGGATATGGTCACAACTGGATTGGAGTCATCCTTGGAGTACAGGGAGAAGATCACTTTACTAATAAATGAATCCCTCTCAAAGATTTTCCAGATCCATTTGGATAGAAGGGAGAGATTAAAGACTTGGAGATTGATGACACCCAGCCCCCCTTCTTGTTTCGGTCTGCAGACTGAGTTCCAAGATACCAGACACTTGATTTTAGAGGGTAGTTTACTCCCATTCCATAGGAAGCTCCGTCTGATTTTGCCAATTTCTTGAATCAGCCACAGAGGGAATTTGAAGAAAGAGATGTAATAAAGAGGGATTGAGGAAAGAACTGAGTTAACCAATGTAAGACGTCCCCCTATGGATAAGGATTTATTCTTCCAAAGAGACAGTTTTTTGGAGAAAGAATCAAGGAGAGGTAGTCAGTCTCTTCTGGATAAAGATCCTTTTTTAAGAGGAAGACCAAGATAGGAGAAAGGTAAAGATCTGATGTAGGACGCTTAATCGAAAATTTAATGGATGATTCGGACATTCACGAGCTAAATACAGATTTATACTTCCGCAAAGAAACAATCATATCTTTCAATCTGGAAGGCGGATTCTGACATATTATACGTGTAAATCGCCTATCTCGACGAGACGGAGCCAACCAGATTGCCATATTTTTATAATCTCATCAGTTATACCCAGATTTGGCTGAAATCTGAAAATAATCAGCCTTTAGTTTATTTTTAGTAATAAAGTTGGAGTCTGTTTTTGTTTAGGAAACAAATCCGATTTGATCTCAGATTTGACCGGTGGACTTTCTTAATCATAAGGAGTCTTTTTAGGAGTTTTAATATTTTAGGAATTTTTACTATTTTTGGTAAGTTCAGAGTCCTTGTAGGAATTAGAGTTCTTGTAGGAGTCTTGTTTCTTTTTCTATTTAAGAAGAGTCTTGTAAGCCCTAGAGGCATAACTTTTGATTAATAAAATTTTATTTTTCCTTAATATTTCTTCGTGAATTCGAAGATCGTTCTTTGTGGATTCAGAGAACACCCTTGGTGGATTCCGAGGCTACGACTTCCGCGCTGCGTCAATTGGTATCAGAGCCTTGTTCCTCCGATCCGATGGCAGGTGATGAAGCCCATATTTTTCGAACTAAGTTCGACGTACTGAAGACCGGTTTTAATCAGATGAAGACTGTCGTAGAGCGACTTGCGTCGGCAGTGGAGCGTCTGAACACGGTAGGAGTTCAAAATCACGTTGATGGTCGCCAACGACGTGATCTGACTCCATATGATAAATCCAACAGGGACAATGATCTTAAGCAAGACATTAGAGTTGAGAAGAGTAGTAAAGAAGCAATAAAGAAAGAAGAACCATCTCCGGAGCAAAATATCTTTCGTACGAGATGCACCGTGATGCAGAAGATTTGTAATATTATAATTGATCATCACAGCAGCAAGAATCTTGTCTCTCGGCGTATGGTGGAGAAGTTAGGACTGAAGATAGAGAAACACCCACCTCTCTATATGGTCGACTGGATTAGCATGGACAATGATGTGCAGAACGATGAAGTGTGTTGGGTATCTTTTTCTATTGGTCGAACTTATTCTGATGAGGTTTTGTGTGATGTTGTCGAGATGGATACTTGTCATATGCTTTTAGGTAGGCTATGGCAATTCAATAATGGAGCTACCCATAGGAGCAGAGACAATGTTTATATCTTTAAGAAAGATGAACGTCGAATTGTGCTCAAGTCTCTTACAGAAAAGGAGCCATTTAAGATAAAAGCTACTGAGAAGAAGAAACATTTAGTGACAAACAACGAGACTTTAACAGAAAACTTGAAGCAATCTGAAGAGGTCTATCATTTGGTTGTAAAAGAAGAACCTGTATCTACCGAAATTCCTCCTAAGGAGCAAACACTTGATATGCATAAGATTCATGATGGTGATATGATAGTGAAGATGGATGATATGCATGATATTCTAAAAGTGGTTGAGAGTGATATTGCACATATTGATGTTGTCCTGATAGAGGAGAAAGATAAAATAGAGAGTGATGCAATTGATGGTATGTGTGAATTGCTTGGTGGAGGGATAGAGACAAAGGAGATGAAAGAATTGTGTATGGAGTATGACGCGGGATTC